ACCCATGAATTTACTTTTTTCTCCCCGGTTCTCTCCCCTATCCCAGTCGGGGCGGGGGGCGGGGAGTGAGCGAACGGCTGTGTGATGTTTAGCTGTCTGCTGGGTTAAAACACAACAGATATATTTGATGTTGTTGGAATATGTAAGCTGTCATTGGGACCGCAGTGGATAGGACAGTACCCAAGTATTACAGATTCAAGACTCTGTCGTAAGGCATGAAAACCATTTTGACCCAAGTGAACATCAAGTGCCCCGCCTCCCTTAGGAAAGCATATATTATAAGCAACAGTAAGTTGCTTATTTTCAGAAATAACACAGATATCCAGAGAGATTCTGCTTCAAACTTTTCCTCCTCCAAGTGCTTCCTTTGCAGTGAAAGGGGACAGTTCTAGGCAAGATCCCTAATTTTATTAGCCCAGTAGTGTGTGGATACATGAAGCTTCAGAGCAAACACAGAATTCAGGAAAGTCACTTGGTTTGAAATAGACTTTTTCACTTCATCAGCTCACTCATTTGAAGGTGGGCAGAAGATGCCTCACATAAAGTGACTGGTGACATGCTTCTGTCTTCAGATCTGAGTAGAGCATTTGGGGAGGCAGTTTACAATTCACATTTGGTGGTGGTGATGTTTTGGCATCAAGTAGATCTAGGCAGATTGTAGCAGTGGCTTCATTATTGATAGCAAGAGCTAGAAGAAACCAGTGCTGGATCACACCAATTAAGAAGTTTCTTACACCAAATACTAATTTCTGAGATCTTGACAACAGTGCTACAAGCTCTGGAGCCCCTCCCACTTTGACTGTGTTTTCTCCCAAGGTGGTTCTTTGTTATAGAGGCTGTATTTGTGGTACCTTTATACTTCAGGTTATTAGGGGATCCATACAGAATGACCCAAAATGTTAGAGTCTCAATAGGTAGTTATCTAGTTTTATGTAGATTCTCGTCAATAATATTAGTGGGAATATCTTCAGAGGTTTTAGGGCTTTATATTTATTTTGGTTGATTGACTTACAATTTTCTGTCCAGTGATGATGCCAACAGGTTGTTCCTTCACCAGAACAGTTTATATGTTATCTACTAATGTTTTCCATTATTGTTCATGATATTCCCCTTCATACAGACCTGGAAAGAAACTGATAATGTGTGCAATTTCAAATTTGTTTCTCTGCTAGTGATGTCACGCTCAACAATTCTCCTGATGCTATAGTTAGTTTGAGTGGTATTTCATTTACTGCCTTGTTCTATGCTGCAGGAATGATTATGCTTCATTGGAAGTACCAGGAAGTATGGAACAGGAAGGAAAGCTGTAACCAATTTTATTTGTATGTGGAGGATAGTTCATGCAGTGTAATAGGTTGACCTTGGTGGGTAGCCAGACACCCATCCAGCTGCTCTCTAACTACCCCTCCTCAACGGGACAGGGGGAGAAAGTAAGATGAAAAAGCTTGTGGGTCAAGATAAAGACAGAGAGATCACTTACCAGTTGCTGTCACGGGCAAAACAGACTTGACTTGGGGAAAATTAATTTATTGCCAATTAAAATAGAGTTGGATGGTGAGAAACAAAGAGAAAAACTAAAATAACCCCCCACCACCTTTTCCCCAGGCTCAACTTCATTCCCAGCTCTTCTACCTCTCCCTTCCCATCCCAAGCAGTGCAGGGGGATGGGGAATGGGGGGTAGCAGTCAGTTCATAACAGTTCCTCTCTGCCGCTCCTTCCTCCTCACACTTGTCCCTACTCCAGCGTGGGTCCTCTCCCTTAAACTCAAGACACGCAGGCAAGACTGTATTTGTCAAAATTCAACTGGATTTGAAGACTACTTTAAGAACCAGAAAAGAGATGGTGGTTCTGCTACCATTTCATACAGTGTTTGTCTGGGGGCTTTACTTTGGCTCTTAATTTTTAAGACAATTCTTACTTGGCCAGATTTTTTAACTAAACTCCCTTTACTTTGTTGCTTCGTTACTCCTCTTGTGAAGAGCGGTGTACATTTATTGTCTGGTATATTATGTACGTCTGTGGTTATATGTCTGTCCTGTATCCTCCTCATGTAGTTGGTCATGAGGCTGACCTTGGTAACATTTGCTGAGTATTTCAAGATACATTTTTTTGAAGACATTGTGGCAATGCAGCTTATAATGAGCATCCCCGTCTTTTTGTTTTGAAATACTTCTAAAAGGAATGATGTTTTCTCTGATGATGTGAATTCACCTGTTTTAAGCAAAACCAGAAAACTAGAATCATGACCCTTGCTTTAAGTATAATCACTTGACTGCTATATTTTTCTGAAGAAAATGTGATGTCATTTTTAGTTGCTATTCAAACATATTGATGAATAAAATCTTCACAGTAAATACTGAACTGTTTCCTGACCAGGAAAATGCACTGCATCTGTGCATGTCTATTTAAGTAATTGCATGATTGAACATCCTTTTTTTAATACCTATTTTTTATCATCATCATTATTTTGGGAAATTATGAACAATGAATTTGTTTGACTGAATTATTAATTTTTACTTTGTTTCAAACACAGTTTTTATAGAGAGTTAAGTATATTTGATGTTTAAAATCTACTGAACAAAAGCAAAAGTATGTAGAGGAAAGAAATTGAGCTATGTCAATCATACCTTGATTTTCAAGGTATGTAGTCTCACTTGCTCAACTCTAGTTTATATATTAAAATAAAAATAAAAACCAAATTTTTCTTAATCCTTTAAGTTTCAGTCAGTTTCTCCACTTGTGTTAGTTGTTGGCTGTAAAAATGAGTAAGTCAAATAACTTGATATGAAAAGTGTTTCTCTCTCTGTTTGTAGCTGCAGATGAGGCCACTGCTTTGTAAAGCTACAAATTCTGTTTTCTTGGCACTTGGAAAACTACTTCCAAGTGTTCAATTTAAAAAACATTTTTGCAATAGGAGATAAATAAAGATTTCTTTTTTAATGGAAGGTATTTGAATATATAATTTAATTTACATTTGATACATTTTTCAGAAAAATACTTACAGAGAGTGGTGTACTGCTTTGGAACTAATACTTTTTTTTTTTTTTACCCCCTAATGCATACATAGGTCAAAGATTACTGGGAAGTTCAGCACCTGTCAATATTCCAGGTTCTCTTGTTCGTTCCTCATCTTTACATTCTTCATCATCCCTTTCAACCTCTCCACTCAGTTCTCTTTCACAATCGCTGTCTCAGTCTTTTCTTTCATCCACTACGGCTCCTCACCACCAGCAGCTTCAGCCTTTGAAGACAGAACATAGTATGTTAGGCACCTCAGCCTCTTCTCACAACTCTTTAGGTAAGTAAGTTGAAGGCTGCACTTTGTGAATTGTAAGAGGGAACTCAATGGCAGGTAAGAAATGTTCAGTTCAAGGCTTTGCACATTTCTTACGACTTAATCTGGACAACAAAGCCTAGCTATTGATAACACTACTGATAATGGAGTTGTATGTGGGAGAAAGTTCAAGGAGTGAACTTCCGTTCCTAGTGAAGGGAAAAAAAGAATTCTTGGAAAAGGAGATATTTACAGAGGCGTTTGAAAGGGGTAAAATAGAGCAGTTGGCATACAGGCACCAGGAATGCATTGTAGCTGCAGCATTTTGCTAAAGGAAAATATAAAACAGAGAAAGAGGAAGAATTAAAACGATGTATGAGCTGCTAGGAACAAAGCTTTTTGTACATAAATGAATTCCCACTCTTCCTTCTCCTTTTATGGACTGGACTGTCTTTTATTAAAAGCGGCAAGAAAAAAAAATATGGTAAGTGTCCTGAATTGTTCTAAATAATGTAAACATTTTCCAGACTGTCACATTTCTGAAGGTAGTGAAATAATGTTTTGAGTCTTGCAGATAAAAGTATAATTTTTGCGTATGTGGCACATCTGTTTTGTTCTGCATGTGAAACATTTTGCAGCAGTGTGTGCAGAATGATGATTTTTTCTGCTTTTGTTTTACAGGTTTAAATGGTGTTACAGGGAGCATCTGGGACTTTGTAACAGGGAGTTTCTCTCCTAGTCCATCCCCAGTACTAAGCAGTGGCACTACCCCCTCAATAAGTTCAAACACCAGTGGGAATGAACTAAATCGAGTTAGACAGGAACTTGATGATGCCAAGAGAAAACTAAAACAATGGGAAGAATCTTGGCAACAAGTAAAACAGGTATGCTAATTTATGGTAATACTAATTTTTTTTTTTTTTTTGTAACAAACAAGCAGCCTCTAGTGCTTTTCCTTTTTACATACCTTCTTATCCTTGGACACAGAGTTTTATTACAATCTGTCAAAGGAATGTTTTTTCCATCCTCAAAATGAGCTAGTGGCATAAAGAAAACTGAGCTTTTTAAAGGGCAATTTATTTTCTGGAAGTTGATCTGCCTGTCTAGACAGGGACACTTACACATATTCAGGATGGGGTTGAACAGCAACGTATCTTGATGTTTAAGTAACTAAAGACATACATTCCCTCCTGTACCTCTTTCAGATGATAAGCACGCATAAAAAGTAGAGGCTTGCCAGCAGCTGTGGTTGTGTAGTGTACCTGGACAGTATCTAGCCATCTCAGCAGTCAAACTGAGGTTGTTGATAACTGCCATTCTAGTGCATTTTCTGTAGTCCTTTTCTTCTCCTCATGTCGTTCTCTCTGTGACAAGGAGTAGCTAAGTAGCTGTACTAAATTTTGATAGGTTTTGATGTCTCTTGACATTAAATTATGAATTTAACATTTCCAATGTGTTCCATTTATAGAGCTCCAAAAAGACTTCTAGCTGTTTACAGACAAGTAACAGTGACATACCTAAAAATTACATTAAGACAAAACAAGAAGAGTTGTTAACTAGAAGGTAGGATAAGTAGGGAGAAGTGTTAAACTGACAATAAATGCATTGTTATGTCTAAAATTAGAGATTACCTGCATCTTTGAAGGCTTTTGAATTTGCTCTTCTGTTGTTAATTTAAAAAATTTATTTTTTATATTCTGGAAATCTCTTTCTCCTAGGCATGTGATGCATGGCAGAAAGAGGCTCAAGAAGCAAAAGAACGTGCTAACATCGCAGATGCAGACAAACAACTCGCTCTTCAGAAGAAGGAGGAAGTGGAACATAAATTAAAAAAGCTGAAGGTGCAATTAGCTGCTTGTCTATCTACTACATTACCTTATATGAAAAACTATGGAGATATAGAAAAGATATCCTTGCCAAAACTTCGTTCCTTACAAAATCGGCTGCACTTAGATTTAGAAACAATAGATGAGGTGAGTTTCTTCATCTGCATAACTATTTTTGATTAACTGAAACTGGCAGCTCAGTAACCTTTAATGACATATTTATGCCAGGTTTCATTTCAAGGAGCGACATTGCTCTCCGTGTTAAGTCTTTTTTTTCTGGAATAGAGGATGGTTCAGATTTCTCAACCTAATGGATTCTTCTAAGTTTTCGATCAGCTATCAGAACAAATTACAAGTGATTCACAAGAATTCTTGGGGTGATTAAAAGAAGATTTAATGCCAACTTGTACCCTCAATGTTTTGGGCACTACCTAAATAAATAAAAATAGTTGTGCTAAATAAATGAAAATAGTTACATGTTTTCACTTGTTTAGAAGGTAGGTGGTGAGGTTCCCTGCTAGGAGTTTGTGTAGTCAGACAGGCCAGTACAGACTTGGAGCATAGAATCACTGACATTAGAAGGGACCTCTGGAGATCATCCAGTCCAACTCCCTGCTCAAAGCAGGGTCAACTCGAGCAGGTTGCTCAGGGCCTTGCCCGGTAGCGTTTTGAGTATCTCCAAGGATGGAGAATCTACCACCTCTGTGGGCAACCTTTTCCAGTGTTTGACCACACTCACAGTAAGAAAAGTTTTTTCTTATGTCTATGTGGAATTTTCTGTATTTTAGTTTGTGCCTGTTCCCTCTTCTTTCACTGGATATCACTGAGAAGAGTCTGTCCATATCTCTTTTACTCCCTCCCATCAGGTATTTATACACACCAGTAAGATGCCATCTCTTTTCAAGGCTAAACAATCCCAGCTCTTTCAGCCTCTCCTCGTATATCAGATGCTTCAGTCTCTTAATCACCTTAGTGGCATATTGCTGTATTTCACCTTCTTTCAAATCCAGACTCAGTTTCTGCCAAAATTTAGGATGCTCTTTCACTGCCAGATTGAGGGCATTTCTCAGGGCTCTCAAAGCTGGGAATGTCAGGTGCCACTCCTCTGAGCACATCAAGGAAGATAATAATGACCATGCACTGCTCCAGGCACCATACTTCAAACCTTGCTGGGCACAACTTGGTTTCACATTGCTTTCTCCCCTGCAATCTCAAAGGGCAGTGACACCACATATGACATCAATTCTTGCTGTTTTGTTTTGACTGTGATGGGACTGTCTAGACAAAAAGATTTTTTTTCACTACTGGGACAGTCTGCCATATTCTAGTACCTATTTGAGTTCAGCAGTGTCTTCTCTGTCTCAGTGCACCTCCTGTCCAGTGCCATCTGTATCAGTATGAACTACAGCCTTGAAAAAAAAGCTAGGCTCTCTTTAGAAGAGTTTAAAACATAATTTAAGTCTTTGTCAATAAAGCAGGTGGACGAGGACAAGACTTGCTAGTTACCAGGCTCCTGTTATCGAGTACATTTACGGGATTCTGGATTGCATTAGGGACCACTATTGTTTTTCTCCTAAGGGATTTTAAAAAGGAGCAAAAGAGTCTTGGGATCTCTTACCAAAAAAGTCATTACAACCTGGAATGGAAGTAATCTCGGCCAGGCTGGAGTGATCAGAACCATTACCACCTTTTCCAGCTCCTCAGTTTCTCAGATTTCCTTTACCACTGTGGCCTCTTCTCACCTACCTCTTCCTTCCAGGAGAAAGCTGCTGTCTTAGGCAGTGCCATACATAGCATTCTGGGTTCTTAGCCCGAACCATGTCTTGCTCTTCAAAAATTAACACGGCTTTTAGATGCTTTTCAGTTCTTGTTCCTTAATAGGGTTGATGTGGCTTATCACATGGAGACATTTATTTAAAGTTGTAACATCCTCCCCAAAGTCTCTATCAGTAGCTTTATTCTATCGCACATTTGGGATGCTTCCATTTTGTCCTAATGCGAACATCTCCCATGGCATGAGAAAATGTAACAGTGGTTTGAAATGGCAAAATGAGGGAGTATATGACAACGAAAAAGGCTTATTTCCTCTTTTTTTGTTTTTGCTTGTTTGCATCACTCATCCCAATTATGCAGGAAAACTTCAGTCCAGAGGTTCAATTCTAGATATTTTCCTTTCTAAAAGCACCTATACTCCTCTAGCTGCTACTTTAAAGGTTGTGCATGCTCTGATCTTACAACCCCTCAATTCAGCTATCTGTCATACAAAAACATTGTCCTTTGTGTTGTTAAATTAGAATTTATTCGGGACAGCTAAGCGTAAAGCTGCTAGAATGCAACTGTATACTTTGGAATCGTTTTTACTGAGTGCAATAATCTTTTTACAGGTGATTTTTCAGCTTCAGTCAAAGAAGTGTATCGTATGTCAGGAAGGTGATGGTAGTATTATCCTGAATCCATGTCAACATTATGTACTTTGTGATCACTGTGCAGCTGCACAAGAAGAATGTCCCTGCTGCAAGAAAAAAAAAAATCTGTGGTAGCATACAGGCATAATACTCATATCATGTTTATGAATTAAATAATTTTTGTTTTGTATTTTGTATAAGAATTGTATCACTCATAATTAATTCATTTAATAGTGCTAGACTGATTTCCATTTTGATGTGCGAAACTTAGTTGCTTTAAGATAGAGAATAAGGCTTGCTCACCTTTACCTATCAACTTCAGTCATTTGATGAGGTTCTATAGTCTTGAGGTTCTTTCATTACCCTCCAATCCCATCACAGCCTTTTCTGACTTCCACTTGCACTCCTAGTGCACAAGCTACTTAGGTTCATTTGCACTGTAATCACTTTGTATAAATGTTACCATAATGCCTGAATGAAGTGTTTATACCTGTTATTTTCATTAACAGAAGATGGATACATAGGTACAGTAACTACACACTCAACAGTACAAATGGTCCCTTTGCCATGTCTGTTGTGTGTGGAATGCCAGAGCCAGTATTTTGGAATTGGTCTAACACTATGTTTACTTGGATGTTTGAAAAACTCTGATTAATATAAAAGCACTTTTTAATTATTGTGTTTTGTTAGAAGATCTGTTGTAAATTGCTTCAAGCTGCTTTCTAGGTCTTATGTTTATTTTTTAATATGCAATAATGAGTTATGTGTACTGTGAATTTAAAATATTTCACATGGTTTTACTGTTAGATGACAATATGATTAAATAGAAATGACAACTTACCTAGTTTTTTTTACAATTTATAAGTTAACTGCATACTGTAGTATTTATAAATGTACCAGCGGAGACAAAAACAGTGAGGCACGTATGCTTTCATATTCAAAGACATGTTTTTAATTTTGTGAAACAGATCAGTTTTAGTAAACAACTGTGCATTTGCATATTTCCCTCAGTTTGGATGTTTGTAGTCTTAAAGTTTTTGTACATCTCCTAACCTGTGTGGTACTCACTGGGAGCAGATATGATATATATATAATATTACCTAGTGCCTATGCCCAATATCCTATAAAATGGCAGAAAACATAAAAGAAGAATTTTGCAAATAATTTCTATTGCTTAATTTTGTATTGAACAATTTCACAATAACTAGAATACATCTCTTGCTTTTATAAATATTTTAAAATACACTTTTTTCAGTAATGAAGTAATGCATGTTTGAAAGGAACTACAAAATTATTTAAGTATGTAATCAGGCAGTGGCACTTTGACACAGTGATTCTTTTAAAAGGTGGTAATATCCTTGCTTCATCCTGGTAGGTGGGAACATGCAATTCAACAGGAGAAGTTAATTAATTACTGCATGTTAATACTGTATATTTTTACTTTTCTTACATGGAATAATTGCCTGCGTTACTCCTTTTTCTGTTAAATTCAGGTGTGACACTAGTACAACTTAGATTGAAATGACCTACTACTGTGTTACATGATTTGTATCTCCGTATTACTGTATTGAGTACAAAAAGTGAGTTCACACAGGCAGCAAAGAGTTAATCTATTTAAATTTCAGTCATGCTAAAACAAAAAAAAAGATGTATACTAAAATTCTTATTGTCGAAATAGAGCTTTTAGAACTGTGTCAGCATTAAATAAAGGGCCCAAGCCAACAGTACTGAAATCACTATCTCCTTTGGGTTTTAGCGTTCTTTGTACAAAGGCTTGAGTTAGCAAAAAATCATTACACATTTTCTGTAAGAACTAAACGTACAGACTTGTCGCTGCTTTCCTAAGACACATCGATCTGCAGGAATGTTGGAGACCTTTTGGGAAGGGAGAAGTAGGATAAAATATTAAGTACATTTCTACTTGCCTCTGTTTCAAAATTTTGTCTGAAGATCACTTTAAAGACCAAAGTTGGGCTTAATAATGTGATTTTGTTGACTTTAACACAGTTTCTCTAAAACGTTTGTACCGAGAAAAGTATAAAATTGGACTGTATTTGCATTTTCAAACACACTTTTCTGTCCTAAAATAAGGTACTGCCATTTTAAAGGTGTAGCCAGCTTTAGACTTTTTAAAAAAGGAACTCGGATCACCAAGTTTGGCTGTAGGTATAAATGTATTTTTTACATCTGTGCAGTCTATGACAAAGACTGATTTTTGAACCTTAACAGTATTTTGGACTAAAGCAAACTTAGTTATGTAAGGGTTGTTGGGTTGTTTTTTTTTTTTAAACAGTGAGTAAATCAAAGAATAATGTGTTAATTATAGTTTGAAATTACGCTACATATTTTTCAAACAAGAAGTTATTTTGGACACCGGTTTACTATATTCATTTAGTGTGGAACAGCATTCTGCAACCATTGTGCTCACAAAAATGTTTAGAAATATCTTAGTGAAAATTTTTGCTTTGGTATTTTAGAAGAAACCAGCTTAGGCCATATGCAGCTATGTGACATTTGTTACCCACGAGATACAGAAGCGTGGTTTTGTGCTGTCTTGTCAAAGTTTATAGTTCTTCATGTGTATTTTAGTGCATTTGCCTATGTCCTAGGGCTATTTTTTGGTCCCTTTTTCTTTGGTAGTAACAGGCGATTTTCCTAATCTCATGACACCAACAAAAAAGGAACATAAACAGCACTTGCAGTGTGAATCATCAGATTGACATTCATAGTTTATATGTGCTGCATTTTTAGAGGAAATTAACTAATATGTTTAGTCTGTTGCTTTTTAAAGTTGTATGTTTTGTGTTTTACAGTGATGAATCTTGAAAAAATAATGATGTGTGTCCTATAGTAGTATCAGTACTGAAAATTTTGCAGGCGTTCCCTGTAGGTTTCTTTGGTGCTGAGTTACAGACACATTTAAAAACTATCAACAAACCATTTTGTGGAGAAACAAAAAACACATACCAAAGAAACATACCTATGTGTCAAATTCTCAGACTGGGCAGCTTGCTATAATTGTAGACGAATCCTTAGGTAATCACTTGAACCATACATAGCAATTATATGGAAATAATACAGTTGTTCTTCACAAAATTCTTTTTGTGAGGAATTACAAGCAAAGTTTTCTGTATCTTACTAAAGCAAGTCAACTGCAAATACAAATAAATACGTACTTTTACACCAGTACTTTAAAATGGAGGATAACGGAATATATGCAGTTGACTAGAGAGGACTATTTGGAAGAAGTCAGAAGTGAAACCTGACCTTTTTAAGTATTCGTCCTTGTACTATATACGCTATCTAGAAACTGGATACATTAAAATTATATTTTAGCGAGACTACAGTACGGTAATTTGCTGAATTCACAAAATACATAAAAGCAAACTAAATAGATTTTCAAGATTCATTTTGGTATTTGACAAAGTTCTGCGTTAATTTATGTAAGAATATAATTTTTAATGTGAATGCTGTTATGTTGTCACAATTATTTTAGCCTGGGGAATAATAGATTAAAATTGTGATTTCTCAGGGTTTTTACAGTTAGGAGCTGTAATTTAACCGGAAGTATGCTAATTACAGATAGATCCCAAGCTGCATGTTATAGGCTTATTATTAGTCTTCTTTGAATAGCAGATTATTAAAGACATACTTGTTTTGTTCTATATTGCCATTCAGAGTATCCTAGTATTAAATATAGGTAGTAATATTATGACTGTCACACTATGCTTGTGTAACTGTGGTCATCATCAGACCCTAAATAAATACGGAATTTTTACTCATATTAATTTATGTAAGCCATTAATTTTTTGAGTGTACAGACAGAAATGATTTTGTGAATGAAATTGTTCTTAATACAAAACATATTATTTATAATGCATACTCATTTACTTGCAGTGAACTGTTTAAAATTGTTAACACGTTAAAACTTTTCTACACTATAGCGTTTATGCAATGGTTTACAGAAGTCATGGAATTATTTTTATTACCAACATGGAAATAAAATTTTGATCTTTATTTCTGAGCTATACTGTGTTTAAAGACTCGAAAATTTACAGATATGTTTTCCTCTGCAATCTAATTATGGCATTCCTAATCATTTCAGGGTTTCAACCACTGGGACTGGTATTTACTGTTTCAGTGGAAAAGAGGTGTAACTGTGACACAAAGAAACTGATTTCAGCAGAATGGTCTACAAGACAGAGGCTGTCCAAGTAATGAAAACATAATCACATTTCCATTCCATTCTTCTTGCTACCACATGTCCTAAGAACATACAAAGCGTCCTACGGGGCTGGAGCTATCGCCATTAAGTCTAGACCAGTATCCTGTCCCTAACAGTGGCGATAAGAGATGCTGTTTAGGAGGAGCACATAAGTCCCACCTCTTTCTACAGTCCACGCCTCTCATATCCTCCAGTGTTAGGGATGTTAGAAACTGCAGCCCATTTAGGCTCACCTTATACAGGATGGTAGTTTTGTACCTTTCCAGCTCAAAACTTTGTCCTTCCTAAGATGCAGAGAATGGGACAGCATACGCTACCGAGGATGTGGATTCACCAAGGTTTTCTGGAGCTTCTTGTCCTGTCATCCATATCCCTCCTGGTAATACCCAGGACTTTTTCAGACTTCCCCCCCCCCCCCAGAGCCACTGCACATCTGGCAAGGCAAGTAAATTAAAGTCAGTTACTAAAAAGTCTCAGCTTACATGCTGTCCTTGCATGAGAAATTCAGTAACGAAGGTGGGGACAGACAATCCCAACAACGTGGAAGGGGAAGACAGATGCACACACAGAGTCTTACATGGTGACTTACTCCTAAGTAGACTGGTAATAAAGCTGTAGAGATGCATGCCTTATGGTCTTCCACTTGCCTTCTCATACACCCCAAGGCCTTGCACTTGCACTGCAGGAACCACCTTTTTCATCAAGGTGCGCCATCGGGTCTCCCGGTTTGCTTTCTGATGTCCTCAGATTTTGAGGACATTTTGAGGAACCCTGTGGCCCCTGTTTGCATTTGGGTGTGCCCCAGAACCCTCAGTTCACATTTTGGGTTGCCCCCAAGCCCGCCATGTGCCTTCTGGTGAGCCTCCGTGCCCCATGTTTGTCCTGCAGTGGGCCACAAAGTTCTCTGTTTAGCTTTCTCCCCTCTCCCACAGTTTTCTGGGTGCTTTTTGGTGTTCTCCACCATCAGCTTTTTTTCCTTTCGGTTTGCCCCAGGGCCCTCCTTTGCCTTTCCGTGCCCCAGAAAGGGGGCCTGCAGCCCGTCGCTCCAGGAGCCGACCGACCGACCGACCATTCCCTGCCAGACCGACGAGCGAGGCTCCAGGAAAGACCGCCGAGGTGTCCCAGGAGGAGGGGGAGGGTAAGGAC